GGGGGTGCAGCACTCTTCAGCAGTGTCGTCCAGAAGTATACATTCGGAAGGATCAGTATGACAGTGTCATTACAATATCACTTCCCGACGTAGTGGTTTATGTATTGGCATCAGGAAGCCAAAGTAGGGCTCAGAGATAACAACTCCTGCTGAAACAAGTTAGTGGCGCTAGGTCTAATCGTAAGGCCAGGACTTAAAAAGGTCCATATGTCTCACGCTGGTCGTGCTATTTACTTGACTAATACAGTGCGTAGTCTCGGACAGCCTATCACTGAGTATATCTTGCAGGATTACTAAGGCCAAGCTTTGCGTTGCTCAGCTACGACCTTAGCACCAAATCAATATGTTTTCCACCTCTGTGAGCTGTGATACCTCATCACTTTCTTATATCTCATACTTTTAGACCATATTATAAACAATTTTGCCGATGTTTGTGGAAGTTGAGCTTAAACTTATATGGTTGCACATTCCTTATAAAAATGTTAGCTTTCTAACTTGTTCTATTTCTCAGTCAAAAAACTTCTCGCCAAAACTTTCATTTGCTCGCATGTGGAGCCGAAACGCGCATGAAATTTAAATTCAAGCTTGTGAGGTCGAACATGGCCGGAGAACATCCTCCCAAAATTTCGGCTTCCTAGCTTTTCTGGCTTTTGAGTTAGTAACTTTCATGCTAAAATTTCACGTGGCCGTGTGTGAGACCCGGGTTCATGTAAAGGCTGAATTAAATTTGCCAGTACGCATTTAGGCAGGTAACATGCCCCTAAAATTTTGGCTTCCTAGTTCACCTTGAGTTGAAAGCCTGAGACAAAACACGCTCGAACGAACACACCCACATACACAAATACATAAACACATACAAACAGACAGTATCGTATGCGTTTTTTGCAACTGGTACTGCAAGGAACGCATAAAAATGAAAAAGCCTGCCTTAACAGAAATATTTGCTGTTCGTTCTCGATGCATTTGCTCTGATAAACATTTATTACTACCGATGGAAATCATGAACAACAATATGTTAAACATTTTGACAATTAACAACAATTTCGGCACGATCAAGACAGCTTCTTTTTGGCTTCATGTTTCATAGGTTTTTTGGTACTGAAGTATTCATCAAGTTCAAGGCACACATGATTGAAGCAGTATCCGAGTACTAGAAAATGAATCCCCACTACACTCAGTCTCAATGACCTGAAATTTTCACCGATTTTATCATGAAATTAGCGTGGCCATGTCTGAATGCGCTGAACCAGAGCCAATTTTTGGGCCCTGATGTGGACACAGTTAAGTATAAGCAAGAGGTGAATAGTTTGGCACATAAGTAACTGGCTTGACAATGGCACTCGAACAGCTACAACTCATTGATATCGAGGACTTTGCACCAGCGATCCGGACGATATTTGTTATTTCGGCTCGGTCAAACAAAACTCAGGCCTGGCTTATATTTCTTTCCCGTTTCACTTTCAGTGTTTATTCTTTCGTGTTCTCATAACTATGCAAATGGGAACGCTTTAAGGCAGGAACTTGTTTATATGCCTTGTGCTGTTTCCGGATTAGTCAGCTCTTGACTTACGTGAGCTCAGCTTTGGGGACATAATTCCCGATTGCTCAAGGGTCGGGGGAGGAGGAAAGGGGAGCAGGAGAAGGGGAGGGGGGGAGGGGGAGAGAAGGGTGGCACAGAACAATTCACGTTCCTATCGAATTCCTGAATGACCAACGCAGGTCTAAACCCGATTTGACTGCAAGCCGGAGGGCCAAGAACACAGTGGACTAAAGACTCTAGCCGATAAATTTTCAAGAAATTCGAGGCACACTGCCAAAATTTAAGTCTTAGCCCTCATGATAACCCTAAAATGTGATTGTCATATGCACCCACGTCAAAAAGAGCTGCTGTACTCTAAGGGAAAAAAAAATACGCATGAAGAAATAATTTTAAGTAGTACCGGCCAGGTAAATTCAGAATCGTTCGTTGCAGTGAACCCATCGTTTTAATAAGCAGACGATCAAAAATTATATTGCCAATTTCCTTGCGACTTAAGAAAAAGAACACACCAAAGACCCCTGAAAATGCCAGAAAATTTACAGATAAAATATATTGTAAACTAGAGTGAAAATTATGCATTCTGCAAGTAATCGCGCATAAATTTTAAAGTTTAGTCGGAATTTACAAGGCAGCAAGGGTCACCCAGTGCTTATTCAGTGTGGTAGCGTCCCCAGAAGTTCAACATTACTAGACGGAAATGCTAGCCGTTAAACTATTCTGTTATATTCATTGCGCATTCGTACTGTCGACGATTCATACTAACTGTTTCCAAGGCTTACTCAAAGTGTATATTCACTTCACATAGCCTGTTCATTTCCGTAGGTCTCTCTAAGGTGTTTCGGCAGGATTCTTTTCACAATTTGTAGGCAGAAACCAAAGCAATTTATCTGTAGATAGCAATCAAAGCGTTGTTTGGGTCAGCTGCGTCTAGATCTTGCTTTTATATTAAAATCCTCGAACCCCAAATACCCATCTGAAGTATTTTTGTCGGAATTCATGATACACAGTCATTCTTTATGGCCGGGCTGTTTTTTTAAAATCTGCTGCCCTATTTCGGTGCAGACTGAAGAAGGATTCACGAAAATATGTTAGAGGGTGGGCACTTAAAGAAGCAAACCTAAATTATGTGCACTAGAGAGGATGAACTGTCTCACCGGGTATAACGGTGGCAAGCATCAGAAATGCAATTAGTCGCTTTTCGCCTCGGGGGCCCAAAGCATCCTGGATTCTGTGCCAGTAGTCGGTCTTCGACATGGCCGCTCCGAACCATTCCAAACACAGTTCCAGCGCATTCAACAGCACCCAGTAAATGTAGTTTGAAGAGGTGCCATGCCAAGCAAGTACAAAAAGAAATACAAAGACTAGCGCAATAAGGCGTCGTACAGAATAAAATCGACCCATCGGTTCGCCGACAAGCGGTCGATAAACCTAAAAAAGTGAGGCGGTTAAGAGGAATGCATCTGCATAAACACGCACAAAATCGAGGCACTTACAAACCCACGCATCAGGCTTGCCGGTGTGACCATGCATTTTTGCACCAGACTTGAAGTACTCAGGTCATTAACTGCATGAATGGCTGTTGTTTTACACCAACTTTTTGCGCTCACTAGCGTAAACCACCATAAATTTCGCATAAAGTAAATGAGCAATTTCCATTTACCGGTCGTTCTTTGAAAGTAACCTGACTGTTCAGTGAGCAATTTTACCGCCAAAACTTTTTAAGCACCCACACGTGAGAACTACGCATACCTGAAGACTGAATTTGAAATATTTAAGTTGTATTTGGACAAGGAACATTCCTCAAAAATTTCAGCCTTTCAGCTTTTCTGGTTCTCGAGTTAGTAATTTTCCCGCCAAAACATTCAAACACCCTCACGTGAGTACCATGCATGTCTGGAGCCTGAATTTGAAAACTTTAGCTCATACATGCACAGCGAATATCTTTGCAGAGTTCCAGCCCCTTATCTTATCTGGTTCCCAAGATCGCCTTCCCGTCAAAGAATTTGCATATTTTTTAAAGACGTCCGTACGCAGCACCCAGGCGTAGTCTGACAATGATATTAAAGAGAGAAGGTTGCGCATGGTGCGTGCACGCACTACCAAAATTTCAGTCTTCTAACTTTTCTGGTTCTCGAGTTGAAAGTGGGTGACAAAAAGTTCGAACACACACACAGCTTCTTGCCAATATTTGTTTTTATGCGTTTTCGCTGTGCAACAGCCAGCAAAAACGCATATTGTCGAGAGGCTGCCTGTGTGTGTGTGTGTTCGGAAGCGAGTGCATTTTGTCATCGACCTTCATCTCAGCAACCAGGAAAACTGGGAGGCTGAAACTTTGGATATATGTTCCCACCCCGTGTGTCATCCTTCCGCTTAAGATCTTTTCCCATACGCACCTAAACTCCGCGTATGGGACCTCCAAAGAGATATGTTGGCGGGAAACGATTTCGCGAACCAGGCAAGGTAGAAAGCTGAAACTTTGCAGGGATATT